TCTGGCTTTCTTTTGATGTTCTTTTGCATGATAAATATTTCTCCATCCTTTACTTTCAAACTACCAGTGTCTGGGTCTAAAATGAGTTTCTTTTAGGCAGTATTTAGTAGGGTCTTGCTATTATTTATTTATTAAAAAAATTTTTTTTTCAATGTTTACTTATTTTTTGAGAGACAGACAGCATGAGGGGGTAGGAGCAGACAGAGAGGGAGAGACAAAATCCGAAGCAGGCTCCATGCTACGAGCTGTCAGCACAGAGCCCAATGCAGGGTTCAAACTCATGAACTGTGAGATCATGACCTGAGCTAAAATCAGATGCTTAACCAACTGAGCCACACAGGCACCCCTATTTATTATTTTTTTAATAAACATTTTAAAATGTTTGTTTATTTTTGAGAGAGAGAGAGCACAAGATGGGGAGGGGCAGAGAGGGAGGGGGACAGAAGATTTGAAGCAGGCTCTACACTGACAGCAGAGAGCTCGATTTGGGGCTTGAAATCACAAATTGTGAGAACATGACCTGAGCCGAAGTTGGACACTTACTTGACTAAGCCACCCAGGTGCCCCTATTTTAAAAATTTTTTTTTATCATTTTAGAGAGTGTACATGAGTGGGGAGAGGGGCAGAGGAAGAGAGAAAATATCTTACTCCACACTCAGTGTGGAGCCTAATGCAGGACTCAGTCCCCTGACCCTGGATGACCTGTGCTGAAATCAAGAGTTGGACATTCAACTGACTGAGCCACCCAGGCACCCCAGTACCCTTTTTTTTTTTTTACCCATTCTTACACCCTATGTCTTTTGTTTGTGGAGTATTTAGTCCATTTACATTTAGAGTAATTATTAATAGGTATATATTTAGTAGCAGTGTATTACTTGTTTTGTCATTGTTTATGGAGATTTTCTCTGTTCCTTCCTTGTCTTTGTCACTTTCAGTCTTTCTTTTCCACTTGAAAAGTCCTTTTTAATATTTTTTGCAGGGCTGTTTTAGTGGGCACGAACTCCTTTAGTTTTTATTTGTCTGGGAAACTCTTTATCTCTCCTATTCTGAATGATAGCTTTGCTGGGTAAAGTGTTCTTGGCTGCGGATTTTTCCCATTTAGCACTTTGAATTTATCATGCCACATGACAAACTTGGCTTGTCAAGTTTCTATGGAGAGATGTGAAGCTAGACTTATGGATCTTCCTTTGTAAGGTAGGGACTTTTTGTGTTGCTGCTTTTAGGATTTTTTTTTTTTTTGGCTATATTTTATAAATTTGATTACAATATGTCTTGATGTTGACCTGCTTTTATTGATTTTCATGGTAGTTCTTTGTGCTTCCTGGATCTGGATGTCTCTTTCCTTCCCCAGATAAGGGAAGTTTTCAGCTGTTATTTTCTCAAATAAATTTTCTCCCCCCTTTTCTCTCTCCTTCTGGGATTCCTATAATATGAATGTTATGATGTTTGATGGAGTCACTGAGTTCCTAAGTCTATTCTCATGTTCCATAATTCTTTCTTTCTTTCTTTTGTACAGCTTCATTATTTTCTATTGTTTTATCTTCTGTATCACTTATTTGTTCCTCTGCTTCTTCCATCCATGTGTTCTCTGCATCCAGTTTGTTTCAGTTTGTTTTCAGATTGCATTTATCATTTCTGACTGATTGTTTTTTAACAGTTTTATCTCAGGTAAGGGTCTCCCTTTTTTCAAGCTCAGCAAGTATTGTATGATTGTTGCTTTAAATTTTCTATCAGGGATATTATATCTATTTTGATTAAATTTCTGGCCATGACTTTTTGTTGTTTCATTTGGGATTAAATCCTCTGTCATGGCATTTTATCTAGGTCTCTGTCTTCTGTGTGTTAGAAAAGCCTGTTATATTTCCTGTTTCTGAGACCAATGGCTTTATGAAGAAGAGGTCATATAGTGTTCAGAGCTTGGCGCCTCAGGGAGTGTCTCTGGTGTGTGTTGTGTGCACTTCACTGCTGTGTTTTGGCTACTATGTCCTTTAGGCCAATCATCTTCAGAGGTTCTGTTTGCTTGCCAGTGAGCATTGTTTGCACCTGGAACAGAGTGTGGTGAGTTTTAACAACTTCCTCTAGAACTGAAGCCTTGCAGAACTGTCTGGCCAGGGGACGTGATGTTTGCGGGGTTTCTGCTGGTCTTCTGGCAAAACGGCCGACTGCACTGGTACTGAAGCATGCTTGCCCAAGAAGGGAAGTCTCACCAGAGTGCTGGGGGGCGGTGCAGGGCATGGTGTAAGCAGGTTAGGCAGTCAGTGTAGGCACTATGCTGTTTACTGCAGGTGGTTTATGCTGACACTTGGGGAGAGAAATGGTGCCAGTGTGCTCCCTTGTCCCCAGAGAGGGGTCTCCGTGCTTGCTGCTATCAGGGAAGCACTCTCAGAAGAGCAGGTAGTTTCCCTTCTTGTGTGCCAGGCATTTTTCAGATTGCCATTTTCATGCTGTCTGTCCCTGGGTTGCTTGTCTGCCAGGAGCAGTGCAGTGTACTTAGGGCTCTATCCCAGCCAACCCTTCTGACTTCTAAAACTCCAAACTTTAGGGATGTGGTGTGGGCATGGCCTGTGCTGGCCTCCTGGCAAAAGGTCTTGTTGCCCTGGGACTGATGCGGGTTTGACCAAGAACGGCAGTTGCCAGAGGCCAAGGTGCACAGGGTAGGCAGCCAGTGTTGGGTCCAAGCTTCCCTTGGCAGGTGGCTCTGTGCCTATGCTGAGGGGCAGGGTAGGGAAATGGCACTCCCAGCTCTTTTGGCCCGTGAGAGGTGCCTCTCCAAATGCTACCTCTCTCAGATGCGCCCCACAAGTGAACAATTTCCCCACTGTGTGCCTTGGGCATTCCTCAGATGTCACTGTCTGCCCCAGATTTGTTTGCCTGCCTTCTCGTCAAGCCTGCTGACCTTTAAAACTCCTGTCTTCAAGCTCCGCTGATTGCAAAAACTTAGGAAAATCCGCCCGTCTCCTTTTCCTGGCCAATGGCTTTGGGGAAGTGTTTTTGTGCATTCCCCTGTGTGTTCTTTTCTTTTTCTTTCTTTCTCCCTCCCCTCTCTTTCTCATCTCTCCACCACCAGGGCTCCCTCCCCTCTGCAGCACCTGCAGTCCATTTCTCCCCCAAAGTCTCTGTGCTTCCTACCTACCTAGATGTGGTGTACCTACCTACCTCTTCTCTCCCTCTAGTTGTGGTGTTTGTTCTGTCAGTCCTCAGGTCAATTTCTTGAGTATTCAGAATGATGCTATAGTTACCTAGTTGTGTTCAAGGGACAAGAGGAGCCTAGAGTCCTACTATGCTGCCATTTTAGTTCCTCACCCAAAAGTTAAATTACTTTTTAAAAAATTTCAAATATAATTAAATACAGTGTTATGTTAGTTTCAGGGGTATAATATAATGATTCAAAAATTCTATATGTTACTCAGTACTCTTCATGATAAGTGTACTTTTAATCCTCTTCACCTATTTCACCCATTCCCCATCCACCTCCCTGCTGGCTACTACCAGTTTGTTCTTTATATTTAAGAATCTGGGTTATTTCTTTCTCTCCTTTTTTTCTTTATGCATTTGTTTTGTTTCTTAAATTACACATATGAATAGAATCATATGGTGTTTGTCTTTCTCTGACTGAGTTATTTCACTCTAGCATTGTACCCTCTAGGTCCATCTGTGTTGTTGCAAAAGTTCAGATTTCATTCTTTTTTATGGCTAATATTCCATTGTGTATATATATACGTCACATTTTCTTTATCCATTCATCTGTGGATGGATGCTTGGGTTTCTTTTATATTTTGGTTATTGTAAATAATGCTGCAATAAACATACATCTTTTTGAATTTTTGTTTTTGCATTCTTTGAGTAAATACCCAGTAGTGGAATTACTGGATAATACAGTAATTATATTTTTAGTTTTTTGAGGAACCTTTACACTGTTTTCCAAAGTGGCTGCACTGGCTTGCATTCCTACCAATGCATGAGGGTTCCTTTTCCTCCACATCCTCATCAACACTTGTTATTTCTTGTCTTTTTGATTTTAGCCATTCTGACAGGTGTGAGATGATTTCTCATTGTGGTTTTGATTTGCATTTCACTGATGATTAGTGTTGGTGAACATCTTTTCATGCGTCTGTTGGTCATCTGTATGTCTGCTTTGGAGAAATGTCTGTTCATGTCTTCTGACCATTTTTAATTGCGTTATTATTATTATTATTATTATTATTATTATTTTGCTGTTGAGTTGTATAAGTTATTTGTAAATTTTGGATATTAACTCCCTATTGGATGTATCATTTGAAAATATCTTTTCCCATTCTGTAGATTGCCTCTTTGTTTTGTTGATGGTTTCCTTTGCTGTGCGAAAGTCTTTAATTTTGGTGTAGTCTCAGTAGTTTAATTTTGCTCTTGTTTGCCTTGCCAGAGGAGACCTATCCAGAAAAATATTTCTATGGCTGATTTCAAAGAGATTATTGCCCATGTTTTCTTGTAGAAATTTTATGGTTTCAGATCTTTCATTTAGGTCTTTATTCCATTTTGAGTTTATTTTTGTGTATGGTGTAATAAAGTAATCCAGTTTCATTCTGCATATTAACTGTCCAGTTTTCCCAACATCATTTGTTGAAGAGACTTTTTCAAACCATTGTGTATTCTTGCCTCCTTTGTTGTAGATTCATTGACCATATAATTGTGGCTTTATTTGTGGGCTCTCTGTTTTGTTGTACTGATCTGTGTGTCTGTTTTTGTGCCAGTACCATACTGTTTTATTACTACAGCTTTGTCGTATATCTTAAAATCTGGGATTGTGATGCCTCCAGTTTTGTTCTTCTTTTTCAAGATTTCCATTTGGTACACCCCTGACTTTTCATCACATAAATTTTTATCATTATTTATTGTCATTTGAATGATAGGATCACTCAATTGTATTACATTTAATTTAGCTCCAAAGTAATTTTATTTACTTGTAGGAAACATGCTACAGTGTTTAAAAATACTTTTCCCACTTATTTAACTCATTGTAGGTATGAATGAAAGTTCGTTTTTATCAAAACGTCCTTCTACTTCTGAAGTAAACAGCGTTAATCCAAAAAAACCTAAGCCCAGTGATGGTGTTTCTGGAATAAATTCTTCAGCTGTATTTCCTTCAGTTAAGTCTCTTTCAGTGACATCTCCCCAGGCTACATCATCAAAAGGTAAATGTGAAATGTGGCATATACAAAAGAAATTATAGTATTTATATATAAATTTTAGAAATCGTAAATTTCCTATTTTTAGTGATTAAAATTATAAAAGATGAATTTTGAATTACATATGTTTTGAATTTATCTTAGGTACAAATACCTCATCAAATCAATCTAAAAATGGAACACCTTTTCCAAGAGCTTGTCCAAAGTGCAATATTCATTTTAATCTTTTGGATCCTTTGAAAAATCACATGAAGGTAAAACTTTTTCAAAATTTAATTTTAAACAGGTTTGCAAATCCCTAAAATATTGATTTATAGTAAATAATGCTTTGTCCAGATATTTAATGAAAAAAATCTTCTCATAGTGGTATTTCCATATAACTTTGGCAAAGATTTATATTCATAATGATTATCTTCATATAAGATTTTTAAATTTCCTCTGAATCATCAAATTTAAAAAAAAATTTTTTTTTAACGTTTATTTATTTTTGAGACAGAGAGAGACAGAGCATGAACGGGGGAGGGGCAGAGAGAGGGAGACACAGAATCCGAAACAGGTTCCAGGCTCTAAGCTGTCAGCACAGAGCCCGACGCGGGGCTCGAACCCACGGAGTGTGAGATCATGACCTGAGCCGAAGTCGGCCGCTTAACCGACTGAGCCACCCAGGCGCCCCTGAATCATCAAATTTTAAGAATTAAGTTTATATGCATTATAATGTATGCTTATTGTATTCTCATTTTAAATGAAAGTAAATTATTAATCAAAATATTTAGTAGATTTGGTTTAATTCAAACTTTTAAAAAAAGGCATTTTTATAGTTTCTTTAATTATTATGTTTTTGGGTTCATGGTAACATGTGCATGACACATTACACAATGAAAATCTGAATTTTACATTTAATTTTCAACGCTCAGACTTAAACCCCAAATGATGGAGCATTTCATCTGAAATAATTATATTCAGAATATAGTTTGTGTAATTGTCCTAAATTAATTCAGGCTTTTTATTGGAATAGGAAGCTCTTGAGATTAAATTTTAAGAATTTTTCAAAGTACAAATGAAATATGAGGTGCAGGTAACATTTCACTTGAAATATTTTAGTGTATATTACAGTATCCTCCTTTGGTGTGAGGAAAGATATCCTGCATTCTCTTTGCATGTCCTATAGAAATGGCAGGAAGGGAGAAAGAGAAAGAAAAAAGTCCATGTAGATTATATGAAGAAAGAAAGGAAGGAGAAGGGTACAGTTGTAAAGAAATAGGTAAGGAAAGTTCTTGTTCACAATTTCAGAAATTGACAAACTTTTATTAAGATAAACATTTTATTAAAAAGGTAGAAAAAATAAGGGAACTTTTTTAGAATTTCAAGTATGTCTTTTTATTCGGTTACAAAACAGCATTTGGTCTGTCACTACTTCCAGCAACCAGAATGTAGCCTCTGATAATTGCACTCTGTGCTTTCTTCTTACATAAAAATTAACCTTTACAGGTGCTTTCACTTTTTTTTTTTTTATCTGTGTAATGCTTTGATGAGATACTTGATGTATTTTATGTTTGCATTTTAGATGGAAAGGAAAAGCTACATTCTTTGACTTTAATTATTTGAGTAAGGAATACAGTGATATTATTCAAGATAAAACAGTTTCCAAAGGCATATAAGTGAAAAATCTTAACTGTGTCTCTTATTTATCTGGTTCTCAGAATGACTGTCAAAGAAAATAATTTTTATTAGTTGGTTTTTGTATTTTTCCTAATTTCCTTTCCACATAAACAGTTAACACAAATGTTCTTATTTTCTTTCTGTTTTGTATATAAATTGTAGCATATTGTGTATATCCTTCTGTATCTGGTAAAATTGGCAGCTATTTTCCAAAATGTAGCTTTACATCCAATATGTGTATTATTGCATTGTTTTTGATTACTCATATTAGAAACAACCAAAATTTCATATAATATTCATATAATAGAACACTATGCAACCTTTTAAAAAGAAAGGAATGTCTGTAATGGATAATGATATGGGATGATCTCGAAGACGTATTAGTGAACTAAGTTAAATACATAATATAAACAGCTTATTATGTGTGTTTATATCATAAAGAAATGTGACAGAATAGTCACAAACTCTAGGACAAGGAAGTTTAAAACTTAGACTTTTTGTATCCTAGCTTATGCATTTTATATATCAGCTGAAGTTTTAGTATTACAACGAGTTCCATTTTGAAAAAATGTGATTTTTAGATTCTTTGTGAATTAATGTTTGCTATTATAGATAAGTAGATGACTGCACTACAGAAATAATGTTTTCTCTTTCAGTTAAGAATATCTAAAACATAAGGCAAATATCCCACAGTATTAAGAACAATTTGTGTATCTGAGACCATGTGCCAGACTATTAAACTTTAAATACTGTATTTCATTTAATCTTTAGAAAATTCTTGCAGGGGCACCTGGGTAGGTCACTCTCTTGAGCATCTGACTCTTAATTTTGGCTCAAGTCATGATCCCAGGGTCGTGGGATTGAGCCCTGCTTTGGGTTCCACACTGGTAATGGAGCCTGCTTAAGAATCTCTCTCCCTCTTTATCTCTCTTTCTTTCTCTCTGCCCTGCTTGTAGGCTCTTTCTAAAATATATATTAAAATCTTAAAAAAAAAAAAAAAGAAAAAAATTCTTGGAGATGAACATTTTTCTCATTGTTTTATAGCCAGTTTATTTAAAGGCATAACTGGCGTTCAAACATTAATGGTAAAAGCCCAAATTCTCACAATTTTTTTTCCTTTTTGAGTGGATAGGTTATTTAATGTTACATGGAAACCTGAAAATAGATATGCAGTTTTTCATAGGGTATGAAATTTGAAATTTATTAATCAGACATAGCTTATTAATTACATCATTTAGATTTCTGTATCTTTATTTTGTTGTATACTTCATCTTTTTTTTAAATCTACAACAAATTTATTATTATTTTTTAATTTAAATCCAAGTTAGTTAACATATAGTATAATAATGGAGTAGAATTTAGTGATGGATCACTTACATATGACACTCAGTGCTCATTCCAACAAGTGCCCTCCTTAATGCCCATCACCCATTTAGCCCATCCTGTCCCCATCTCCCCTCTAACAGCCCTCAGTTTGTTCCCTGTATTTAAAAGTCTCCCCTGGTTTGCCTCCCTCTCTGTTTTTATCTTATTTTTCCTTCCTTTCCCCTATGTTCATCTGTTTTGTTTTTTTAAGTTCCACATATAAGTGAAATCATGATATTTGTCTTTCTCTGACTGATTTCATTTTGCAAAATACATTCTAGTTCCATTCACATTGTTGCAAATGGCAAGATTTCATTCTTTTGGATTGCTTAGTAATATTCCATTGTATATATATACCACATCTTTTTTTTTTTTTTTTAACGTTTATTTATTTTTGAGACAGAGAGAGACAGAGCATGAACGGGGGAGGGTCAGAGAGAGGGAGACATGGAATCTGAAACAGGCTCCAGGCTCTGAGCGGTCAGCACAGAGCCCGACGCGGGGCTCGAACCCACGGAGTGTGAGATCATGACCTGAGCCGAAGTCGGCCGCTTAACCGACTGAGCCACCCAAGCGCCCCTATACCACATCTTCTTTATCCATTCATCAGTCATTGGACATTTGGGGTCTTTCCATAATTTGGCTGTTGTTGATAGTGCTGCTGTAAACATTGGGGTGCATATGCCCCTTCGAATCAGCATTTTTGTATTTTTTGTATAAATAGTAGTGTAATTGCTAGCCATAGGATAGCTCTATTTTTAATTTTTTGAGGAACCTCTGTACTGTTCTCCAGAGGGGCTGCACCAGTTTGCATTACAGTACAAAAGTGTTCCCCTTTCTCCACATTCTCGCCAACATCTTTGTTTCCTGAGTTGTTCATTTAGCCATTCTGACAGGTGTGGGGTGGTATCTCATTGTGGTTTTGATTTGTATTTCCCTGATGATGAGTAATGTTGAGCGTCTTTTCATGAGTCTGTTTGCCATCTGGATGTCTTTGGAAAAGTGTCCATTCTTCACTGGATTATTTATTTTTTGGGTGTTGAGTTTGAGAAATTCTTTATGCATTTTTGATACTAACCCTTTATAAGAGATGTCATTTGCAAATATCTTCTCCCATTATGTTGGTTGCCTTTGAGTTTTGTTGATTGTTTACTTAGCTGTGCAGAAGCTTTTTATCTTGATGAGGTCCCAGTAGTTCATTTTTGCTTTTGTTTCCCTTGCCTCTGGAGACATGTCTAGTAAGAAGTTGCTGCAGTTGAGATCAGAAGTTTTTGCCTGGTTTCTCCTCTAGGGTTTTGACGGCTTCCTGTCTTACATTTAGGTCTTTCATCCATATTGAGTTAATTTTTGTGTATGGTGGAAGAAAGTGGTCCAGATTTATTCTTCTGCATGTCGCTGTCCAGTTTTCCCAACACCATTTGCTGAAGAGACTGTCTTTTTTCCACTGGATATTCTTTCTTGCTTTGTCAAAGATTAGTTGGCCATGTATTTGTGGGTCCATTTCCGGGTTTTCTGTTCTGTTCTATTGATCTTTGTGTCTCTTTTTGTGCCAGTACCATACTATCTTGATGATTGTAGCTTTGTAATGTAGCTTGAAGTTCAGAATTGGGATGCCTCCAGCTTTGGTTTTCTTTTTCAACATTACTTTGGCTCTTTGGGGACTTTTCTAGTTCTGTACAAATTTATAATTATTTGCTCTAGCTCTGTGAAGAATGCTGGTATTTTGATAGGGATTGCATTGAATGTGTAGATTGCTTTGGGTAGTATTGACATTTTAACAATATTTTTTCTTCCAGTCCATGAGAATGGAATATTTTTCCATTTCTTTGTGTCTTCTTCAATTTCTTTCCTAAGTTTTCCATAGCTTTCTGTGTAGATCTTTTACCTTTTTGGTTAGGTTTATTCCTAGGTATTTTATGGTTTTTGATGCAGTTATCAATGGCATAGATTCCTTGATTTCTTTTTCTGTTGCTTCATTATTGGTGTATAGAAATGTAACTGATTTCTGTATGTTAATTTTATATCCTGCAGCTTTGCTGAATTCATGTATCACTTCTAGAAGTTTTTTGGTGGAATCTTTGAGGTTTTCCATGTAGAATATCATATCATCTGTGAAAAGTGAAAGTTTGACTTCTTTGCCAATTTGGATGACTTTTTTTTCTTTTTGTTATCTGATTACTGAGGCTAGTACTTTCAGTACTGTGATAAACAACAGTTGTGAGAGCAGACA